TACTTGAGGGCCAGCACCGGTGTCATCAGCAATTCCCTCACCCCGGGGGCATCCCGGACCCCTCGGCCACCCAAAATCCCTGCTGCCAGGCACTGGGTCTCCCAGCACCGAGGCCAGTCCAGCAGTGCCACACCACACCGTAGGACTTCTGGTGGGACCCTGCAGCAGGACAAGCACTCACCATGGAATCGCAGAATGGTTTGGGTGGGAAGGGACCTTAAAGATCATCTCCTTCCACCCACCTGCCCTGGGCAGGGCCACCTCCCACCAGCCCAGGTTGCTCCAAGCCCCCTCCAACCTGGCCTTGAACCCCTCCAGGGATGGGGCAGCCACAGCTTCTCAGGGCAACCTGGGCCAGGCTCTCACCACCCTCAAACTGAAGAAGTTCTTCCCAAAATCTAACCTAAATCTCTCCTTTTTGAGCTTCAAACCCTTCCCCCTCGTCCCATCCCTCCCCTCCCTGATCCAGAGTCCCCCCCCCAGCTTTCCTGGAGCCCCTTGAGGGACTGGAAGGGGCTCCAAGGTCTCCCCGGAGCCTTCTCTTCTCCAGGCTGAACCCCCCAACTCTCTCAGCCCCCCCTCCCAGCAGAGGGGCTCCAGCCCTCCCAGTATCTCTTCTCCAACAGGTCCAGGGCTAAAACCAGCCCAGGGCTCCCCAGTCCCACCAGCAGCATTTCTGGTCCCACGTCCCCACTGGAGACCAGCTGCTCCGGGCCGTGCCTCGCTGTCCCCGCCGAGGTGGCCCCATTGCTCTGACTCATGCTGGAAGCCACCCGAGGAGCCCTCAAGAGGAAAACACACGGTGTCCCCGCCAAGTCACAGGGAACAGCTGAGGGTGGTTGTTCCTACAGCCGCTGGTGCTGGGGACACCTCGCCAAAAGCCACCTTGCCGGGTGCCACGAGCCCGTTGGGCCACCAAGATTGGAGACAACAGGGTGAGGCCAAGGGGGCTGCTCTTGGCCATGGAGCCCAGGAACAAGCGTGGTTTGGGTCTTGCCCTTGGGCAACAAAGGGGAACGTGGGGCTACTGCCCCAAACCAACCACCGGCCAGAGAAAGCCAAGCAGATCCCACCACACCAACCCATCCCTCTGGGGACGAGGGGATATTCCCTCTGCAGACAGGGAGAGGGTGGAGGAGCATCCCTCCCTCTCGGCACAACCCCTTCCAGCAGAGAAAAGCCAAAATTTGCTATTTTGCCAGCCCCATCACAGAAAAGCATCAATTAACAGCACATCTACCCGTGAGCCGGGACAGACACCCCAAACCTTCCCCCGCCGCCGCGCACGAGCCTCATCGAGAAGAATTAACCTTCTAAGTCTAAGAGGGTAATCAAATCTCATGCTTCAGGGCGTAAGCCGATCACCAAAGGGGTCAGGAAGGAATTACTGCCCCACACTCGCGGGGGATTTTTGCCTTTCCCCTGATGCAGACCATATTGGCGGTGGCCAGAGTCAGCAGGACGGCCCTGAAGGGCTGATGCCCTGATCTGTTGTGGCAAATCCTCTCCCCCTAATTCCTCTAATGACATTAGTGACTCTTACTTGCTCTCCCCTTCCCCTGGGTTTGGCTTCTGCTTGTGATTCCGGCCTCCTCCGGGGGGGTTCCTGCTCCGTGTCCCCACGGGAGGCAGGACGGGAGCGGGGATGGATGCACTGATGCTGCCAGTTGGGTGTGAGATACACAAGAAGAGCTTCATTCCCCGGTGAAGACTCTCCTGAGCTCCTCCTGAGCTTCCCCACACCTCGGTGGTGGCCCTGAAGCACCAGTATTGATGACCCCCAGTTGCAGAGCGAGGGGGGAGGCAGGTGGGGAGAGCGGCTCTGCCTTCTCCTCCTCCTCCTCCTCGCACGACCACTGCTGAATCCCTCCTTCCCCGGCACATCCAGGTGCCGTTCCCATTCCCCAGCCCTCTCCTGGCACACGCAGGTGCTGGCACACACGAGGACGGTGCACGCTCAGGGCTGGAGCCACAAGCCCTACACTCCCAGCAGCGGCATCGCGGCCTGAGAGCCCAACGGGGTGCAGGACGGGAGAGCTGAGCTGTGCCCCCCCATGCTGAGCCTTGGGCGGGGGATGTCATAGGGTCTGAGAGCCCTGAGGAGAAGGACTTGGGGGCGCTGAGGGGTGAGAAGCTCAACAGGAGCTGGCAACATGGGCTGGAAGCCCAGCAAGCCTCCCCCAGCCCCCTGGGCTGCACCCCCAGGGTGAGGGGGGGATTCTGCCCCTCTGCTCCACTCTGGGGAGACACCCCCCACCCCCTCAGCACTGCCTCCAGCTCTGGGGCCACCAACAGCAGAAGGACATGGAGCTGTTGGAGTGGGGCCAGAGGAGGCCCCGGAGATGCTGGGAGGGCTGGAGCCCCTCTGCTGGGAGGGGGGGCTGAGAGAGTTGGGGGGGTTCAGCCTGGAGAAGAGAAAGCTCCGGGGAGACCTTGGAGCCCCTTCCAGTCCCTCAAGGGGCTCCAGGAAAGCTGGGGGGGGGACTCTTGATGAGGGAGGGAAGCGATGGGACGAGGGGGAAGGGTTTGAAGCTGAAAGAGGGGAGATGGAGGGACATGGTTTAGTGAGGGTTCTTTTGTCAGAGTTAGGTTGGTTGGACGAGATGATCTTGAAGGTCCTTCCAACCCCCTGGATGGTTCTATGATTGAGCTGAGATGTGGGGCAGAAGTTCTTTGGTGTGAGGGTGGTGAGAGCCTGGCCCAGGTTGCCCCGAGAAGCTGTGGCTGCCCCATCCCTGGAGGGGTTCAAGGGCAGGTTGGAGGGGGCTTGGAGCAACCTGGGCTGGTGGGAGGTGGCCCTGCGGGGGGGGGGGGGGGATGAGATGATCTTTAGGGTCCCTTCCCACCCAAACCACTCTGTGATTCCATGAGGACACTGCTGGACCCAGGGTCTCAGCCAGTTTAGCCCCACAGCAATGATGGCCAGTCCTGTGGGGACACTTCTCCTCTCTGACCCTCAACAAGAGCAGGAGAGGAGGGGAAGGGGAATGAGATGAAGCAAGATGGGACGTTGCTGAGCGGAGAGGTCAGACCCTGGCATCGCAGACACACTGCACAGCAGGAGGGTTTTCACCCCTTTAGGTGGCCAAGAGATGCCCCAGCCCCGCTCGGCTCCCACTGTGGTGGATGGAGCCCATCAAGGACCCATCACTTCGTCATGAGAGTCCTCTCCTCGTTTCCCAAAGAAGGGGAGCACCGAGAAGACTCGTCTGATTGCAAAGCCTGCGCTGAGGATCAATTAATCTGCTGCTGCTTCGCTGACACCGACTTGAACAGTGATTCTGTGACACGTGGAGAGCGATGCTCCAGCACCGGGTGGTGGAAGAACCGTCCCAGACGGGGACGCAGCTGCCACCAAGGGAAAACCAACGTCCCCCAGACCCCGGAGCTGGCCTTTGGGGACACCACCTGACATCTGAGAGGTGCTAAAACCACGGCATCCATCCCTGTTGAGCACCTCCTGCCGCTAAATCCCACCAGGGCTATGTTCAGCTGGGGGACACCCCACATTCTGCATCTCCAGCCCCCACCCAGGCCAGCACGGCACCAAGGAGCAGCTCAAGATTCCCCCAAAAACCACCTCCCAGTGCCTGGGCTCCTGCCCTTGGCAGAGAATCACCTCTTTCCTTTCCCGAAGGCTTATACAACAGGGGGAGGCTCTGCCATCAGCCGTCGGCATTACCAAATATTTTCCGTTCAGCCGGACTCCTAACGGGGCTCCAGGAGCTGCAGAGCTCTCCCCGACACAACGCTGCCCCATAAAACACTCCAGACCCTTTAATAACCCCCAACGCCCCATCGCCTGCTAATTATGGAATTCAACAGCACCACGAGCAACCGGGACGTTACCAAAAACCCATTTTCTGCCCATCCCTTCCAATCCCCATCCCCATCCCCATCCCATCCCCATCCCCATCCCATCCCATCCCCATCCCCTCCATCCCCATCCCTTCCCATCCCATCCCATCCCATCCCCATCCCCATCCCCATCCCACCTGCCACCAAATAACACTGGAATGAAGAAAACCAGCCATTTTCTATTGTTTCACCACGGAGCAATAAACCAGTTCATCCAATTCTGGGATTCGCCACTTTTTAAGCATTAGGAATATATACACTTTTTTTTTTTTAATTCTCCTTTTTTTTTCTGGAATAAAACCAGTCGAAAAGAGCGTGGGCAGCGGTGGGGGGGGTTGGATCCCCTGAGCCAAAATCAAGGACCACGAGAAGCCACGGAGCAAAAGGACCCGCCTGAAAATCTTGTGTTTCTGGGGAAAACACATCTGTGAAGTCACCACCTCGCCCAGCAAAGCGCTGACGCTCGACCCGAGGAACACAAAAAATTAGGGGAAAATCTGGTTTTTAATTCTCCCCTCCCAGAGCCACGCGCGTATTTCTACGCACAAGCGCGTGTCTAGGGCTTGGCTTCCCCAGAGCACAAGGGAAAAGAAAAAGAAGAAACCCTGGCCCCATGTAAGTTTTCAATTGAAAAAAAAAAAAAAAATTTTAAAAAAAAAGCCTAATTTGGGTTGTTTGCGTTGAGCAAAAACGGATACTTGTTGTGGCTGTTTTTTATTGGAAAAACCTCACGGAAAATGTCAACTGAACTATATTTTCTGCACGACAGAA